TTCTTTCATTTAGAAGCCTTGAGGCAAACCAAGAGTCTGTGTCAATTACAGAAAAATCAATGAAGATACTGTTCAGGACTCCTTTTCACCATTCAGTGCGGATGATATCCTTCACTTTCTAGCACTGATTCATTTACTTTCAGCCTCTCTAGGGGCTACTGACATATTGCTATCTCTGAAGAATCTGAAGCAAAAACTGCCTTTGTTTCCTACTGCAACTTGTTCGAATGCACAATGCATTCCCTGGATCTGGGCTGTGACTTTGTAAAGGCTGGGGGTATATCAATGGATCGGAATGAAAGTGATTTTTGGTGCATCAGGCCTTATAAATATCTGTAACCACAGCATCTCTGAACTGCCTTTTCCTCAAGACTCACATGCTGAGCAGGATTGATCCAGGTCAGTATTTCAGCAGAAAACTTCTAGTGCTAATAATCAAAGTTGTTGCAAATACTAGGGTTGGTGAGTCAATGACACTTTTCCTTCCAAGTCAGTACCAGATTCCTACCTTAGCTTTATGCAAAGTTCAAGGGCAAAAGAAGTGGGACTGAAAGATGTTTTTTATCTTGGAATGAGACAAAAAATGAGCTTTTTCTTACTAGACATTGTTAAAGACATTGTGGGTTTTTTGTAAAATAAGTTGTCAGCTCAGGGGTCCTGATCAAATTTCAATATAAATAATTCTGCCTATGTAAACGTCCCATACAAGTTGCACGCTGGCGTAGCATTCTACCTTCCTGGGTTCCCACTGACTTCAGATCAGGCCTGTGGTTCATGAAGCAAAGACCAATATTACACAGAAAGATTATGTTAGTGTGTGAAGACTGCATTTTCCTCATAACCCCTGGCCTTGAAAACAATGTTCGACCATGTTTCAACAATCCAGCGAACTCCAGATGTTTGGGTTTGATGTCATTGTGCAATGGCTAAAATGATAATGTAATATGGCCGTCTGATAATATCAAAAGTCATGGATAAATTCTAACCCAGCCCTAGGTTTACCAATTGTTAAAAAAGAATTTTTGCGAGTGAAATGTTTGCCTGGTTACCAAAGGCCACCAGAATATTCTGAAACTGATGTCACTTGTGCTGTTAAGAGCTCAAATTAATACATACGCTTGCCTGTTGACATATTATTTGTATATAATTGGAAATGTAAGACATTTGCTTTATATTTGCAGCTGTCATGTTGTTTATGAACATAGAACATAATGATAAAACCTGAGTAAAAAACTATGCTTTCCACGAGCAAGCATGGAAGGTACATACAGAAGGAACAGAGGGCATACATGTGTATGACTCAATTAAAGTCACTTTGGTTGAGCCACAGATGCTATGTGCAGTCTTTTCATGTTTTCTACCTGACTTGTGATAAGCAACCTCTGATTCATTCATAGCTTTCACTGGAATTTCAAGGCTCATACATTTTAAGTGCACTGTTAAACCTGTTCTCAAGGGTTCATGATGGAGAGGGAAGGCTCCATATATCTAACAGGCTATGAAACACAACCTATGCTCATTCTTTATTATGTGGTCATCATTAATGTAAGCAGGAATTCTGCACAAGAAACTAAGGCGGATCCTAATGTTTTCTATATGAAGCCCAAGTGCTGTGCTAGAGAGGTGCTAAAATACATAATAGATGGTCTGGATAGTATTACTCTTGTGGGATCCTACCCAGCCCCCAGCCCATAAGATAGACGTTGTGTGGTGCAGGAGTTCCACAAAAGTTTCTCTCTGTCTCTGTGAATTAAGGTTCTTATACATCCCTCAATGCTACAGCATCTGAATGCATGAGCCAACTGTATACTAAAATTACCTATCCTGGCAAATCTGGTTTGCCATGTATGGGTTTGGGAGAAAATAGGAGAGCTGGCCAGGGAATAACAGTCTCATATAAATAAGACCTCTCCTTATCAAACTCTCCTTTTTAAGCTTTTCCTTTCTGCACTAAAGCCATGCAGATCCCATAAGCATTCCTATACCCCTCAGGGCCCACTGCTTTACTCAGGCAAAACAACTATTGAAGCCTGAAAGTCCATGCTGTGACCCAGTCCTTCAAGCCTCCCATGTTCAGAACTTCCATTGACTTCAAAGAGAGCTCCACGCATGGCAGGCTGGCAGGATGTAGCCCAGAGCGAGGATGGTGCTACAAAGACTGTATTTATTATTTATAACACACTTCTGTGAACTCAGAGCTCAGAGGCAAAGTTGTCTATCAGGGGCGAGCTTTATAGGGAAGAATTGTATTAAGAAGAAACCTTGTAAATATGTTATAGAAATCAAAATTCATATTCACAAAGTATTTTCTGCCACCTGAGAAACTCAAAGTTGGCTTCATATGAAATGTGCTAAGTTTATGGAGCAGTTTAAGTCCACTTTACTTTTTTTTTAAATATTGTGAATTAAATTCCACTCTTAATGAAATATGGCCAGCTGCTACCTTTTAACATAGAATCTATTGAGTTAACATGTGTTTACAATTGCCCAAATATATACCATGAAGTAGATTCTAATGGCTTGTTGAAAGCCCCTTTGCCATCTCTAAATGATGTGTCTAAATATTTGAAGATACACAAGCTCATTCATTCCAGAGAGCAGGTAAAGTCTCAAATGCGGGTAAGAAAGGATGTACATTAAAAACTGTATTTAAATGGTCACAAGTAGTTGTGGCAGGGCAAAAGCTGCAAGGCCTTTCTCTGGCAGCTACATTGAAATTAATGGGTCTACCCATGTCTATAAGTACTGCTCATGTAGGAGTGTGGGTGGCAATTAGAGCCCCCCACAGACAGCAACAGAGCTGGCTGGGGTGACAGACACTGGTCTTGAAGCCATTGTGAGTAAGAGGGAACACTTGTGCCTGCTTCACTGTGCATTGGGCCCAGCCAAAAATGAAAAGAAAACCACAATGGTGAAGAGAAAGTCAGTAGAGAATTATTATTTACTCTCCCACATGATACAACAAGCAGGGGACATAAAACAAAACCAGCAAGTTGAAAACTAACAAGAGGAAGTTTTTCACGGAAGTGTGGACTCCTTGCCACCAACTGCTGTGGGAGCGCAGCTCAGCCAGGTTCAAAAAAGAGATGGGACAAATCCTTGGAGAAAAGGGGCCTCACTAGCTACTGAGCAGGGGAGGGAGGGGCACAGCCCCTGCCTCAGACCTTCCTAGACTTGAAATGCTGGAGGCTACAAGCAGTGGGGAACAACTGGCCAGACCCAATTCACTCTCCCTTCCAGCCTCTGCGGTCTCCCATGGAGGACACAGGCGACTGGGCAGGATGGACCCGTGGTCTGACCCAGTCACTGCCAGTTCTGTTCAGACTGGATCATGCACGGCCCCTCTCCCAGTTCCCTCCACCCCCAGCCCACCCCGTGCCCCCACTGTGCCACACATCCTGGTGCACCCCGGCCCCTTCCCGCCCCAGGGGCAGCTCCTGAGACACTGCTGGGGCTGCCTCGGGGTTATCTCCCTCCAGGTGCCAGGTGCTGGCCGGGTCCCAGGCCCCCAGCGGCTTCCCCCTGGCAGGTGCACAGAGATCTCTGTGCCTGCGATCTCAGCCTCCCCCCGTGCCTGTGATCTCAGCCCCTTCCCGGGGTCCCTCCCCGGCCGCCCCCTGCCCGCCGGGGCTGGAGCACGGGTGCAACCTGGCAGCGCAGCCAGCTGCCATTTCCACCCACGGCAGCCTCCATTTTAGCGTTAATTCCTCCCTG